TGACGACTCCGGGCTGGACTCCGCTTCGTCCACGGTGAAAGCCGATCCGGCGATCCACAGCGCAAAGTTGATGTTTTTCCTCAGCGTCCAGCACGGATCAGCTCTAGGCATGACGAAGCGGATATCGTCCTCTTTTGGAAGACCAAACAAAGTAGTTTCGCTTTCACAACGAAGCACACAAGCGTCTTCAGGACATGGCTGCAGCGTCAACAATACTACAGCGAGAATAAAAGTTACGCCTTCTTTCTTTGCATGAACATTTGGGCGGGGTTATATAAATCTTCTCACATAGTGAGGTAGATATGTGGGGGCATGTTAGAACGAGCCGTTTTAGGTAGGTGTGGCTGACTCTTAACTTTTATAAAGAATATCTCTTTGGTTTTGAGACTTTAGTGTTTGCAACTTTACAGATCTTCTTTATGCACCAAGAGCTTGTAACACTCCAAAGAGAAAGGAAAAATTGAAATCGCATCATATGACCCCTTTAAACAATTTTTAAAATGTTCAATGTAAAAAATGAAATAAAATAAAATACATCTATCTAAAAATCTAATAAATGCCGTCTTGCTGAGCATAAGAGATTTCTTTCAAAAACATTTAAAAAACTGGCTTAGCTTTAGACTTAGCTTTATTTATACAGAACCTTTAAAAATAGTGTTTACAAAGGTCTTTACAGAAAACATGAATGTCGTAATATGAAACTGGGGAATAAAACAATTAAAAGAATGCTCCAAACACACAGACCGTCTGTATAAAATGCTTAAAACACAATGGGCCCTATAATACACCAGGCGCGACGCAAGTGTTTTTGCTAGTTTCAGCCCGACGCAGTTATCATTTTCACGTCCTGTGGCACGTTGTTTAAATAGCAAATGCATTTGCGCCCATTTGTGCGCTCATGGGCGTGCTGGTCTGAAAACGAGGTGTGTAGCATCTGTAATAGACTGCGCCATTGACCAACAAAAACCTGGTCTAAAGTCAATGGCGCAGTATTTTTTTGTTATTTAAAGAGCACGTTAGTAATATGCGCCTATAGGTGGGTCCACAAGGCACGCACACTCAGGGATGCGCAGCAGCACACAAAAATGCCAAATATTAAAAATGAAAGGATTACAATGTAAAAGATTATTATTGTGTAGGCTACATAAAAATAAAAATGCCTACATATCATAATGGATAGTCACTGCATGTATCAGAATTAGGCTACCTATTTGCTAGCGCACAAGGAGCTCCGTTTCCTCTCTGGAGACGCGTTCTGTCTTTGCTCTTGCAAATTCCACCGTGTAAATAGCGAGCGCGATCGCAACTGGCTTTTAAAGATGGGAGATGAGACTCTGATTGGTTTATTGCACGTTATGCCCAAAACACACCCATTATTCATTAAGAGAATAGGGACAACCCTTTTAGACCATTTAGACCTTTTAGACCGCCGACCATTTTTCCAATTGTTAAACTAGCAAAAGTGGATTCTGACACGCCCTAAGTGCACCTGCGCCATGCGCTTTAGACCATGCACTTAGATCGTTAAAATAGGGCCCATTTATTCTGAGGGCATCGTTCACATCCATCCCCAGCGGCTCTTCTCTCACCCTGACTCCCTCACCACGGGACAGGGGAATATTTTTGAGGCCCACTTCTTGCAAATGCCCTCTTTCCTTTTGAACTTCAACCCATTTTATGCTCTTCCCCCTTAACTCGTACCTTAGAGAGCAAACAGTAGAACAGAGGAGAATTTCCCATAGTGAGAAGCACGACTGCTTTTTAATCATCTCCAGACCCGCGCTGTGTGTGAGAGACAGCGGAGGAAGGAGAGCCCGGCAAACGGGGAGAGGGAGGGTGTGAGACGTTCTCTAAGGCCTCAAAAGCGCTGGAGGCGAGTCGAGAGGGCCGGTCTCTAGACGGAGGTTTTCGGTGATCTGTCACTGCTCACAGGGAGGAAATGGCTGTGTTTAAGGGTCAAGAGGATACGGTTTCATTCAGCAATTACATCTCTCTTGTGTTTACTGATCTTTGCGCAGAGGAAGAAAAGATGCTTGCGCACGCACAGGGCCGAGTTCCAGGCTTTTTATGGCTTTGGCTCTCGATCGTGTAGACTGGATGTGACCTCAAAGCCATCTTTGCTTTCTCAAGTACATAGCAATCCAATTTGCTGCGATCACTATCGCTAGATGTTTAATTTAGGCTTAACATGAGACTTTAGGAGAGAGATTTTTTGGTGTGCAAATGTTTTTGCCACTGGTTTTATTTTTATTTATTGTTTTACAGATGTTATTAAATCCATTTTTACCAGGACTTATTTGGATCTAACCATAAATCAACTCTCTTGTTGTCATGCATATTTGTGTGTCTTAAATTCACAAAATTAAATCATATTTTACACTTTATACATAAAATACAGTGTGATTGCAAATGGACTTAGTTTGTTCAAAAGTGGACAATAAAAGTGGGAGAATTGGCACTGCAACTAAATTATATATATATATATATATATATAGTAAGTTTTATATTTATATTATATAAAAGTTTAAATATTACATTTTATATATATGGTTATTATAGTTAACTGAAACAATAATAATACAAATTATGTGAAATAAAATAAATATTACCTGAAATAAAATATTTAAAAAATCATTAAAATGTCCCATTATAATTCAGTTCAACTTGTACTAAAATAATGAAAACTAAAATTGAATTTTAAATATGAAAGTAAATTACTAAACTTTAAGTAAAATTTTTATAAAATATAAAAATAAAAACTAAATCATAATATTAATAAAAATTAAAATAGCACTGCTGCATAATATTTAGAAGTTAAAATAAATCTATATTTAAAATAAATTTCTAACAAAAATTAATTTAACAATAAACATTAATTACATTTTAGATAACATTTTACATTTACATTTTAGACATTTAATGGTTAATATTTTTATCATGGATTATACCATTTTAAGATCAAAAGTCTGGGTACTGTAAAACGTTTCCAAGTTGTTTTAAATGTGACTTTGTATGTGACAAAAAAAGTTTCAAAATTAGTTAAATCAACAACAACAACAACACTTGTTTTCTCAAGTTTTTCTCCTGTTGCACAAGCCATCTTTTTTCATAGTGATGAAAAATGAACACAGTACACATAACAAATGTTTGTTTCTTTCAGGAGTGGCAGAACTCTATCCAGAAGAACGCTGGCCTGGCTTTCATTGAGCTTATCAACGAGGGAAGGTAAAGTCTCACGTTTGCTCCTCAAACACCATTACTAGCTCACACATCATTGTAGCTAATGTCACTCTAAACTGGTTATCTGGCGCTGGTCTGTTCGGCTGTTCAGCTGGGGTTACCATGGCATCTCTGAGGCAGACTAGAGAACAGGGAGGGAACCAGATTAGCCTCTAAGCCTCTCGTCCCGCTAGTTTGGCTACAGTATGTGTGTGTTTTTTGTGTGGAAGTGGTTGACCAGAGTGGAAAATATGCTGAGATAAGCATGTTGAGAGAGAGTGGCTGTATACACCCTGCTGATGTACTTCCTGTCCAGAATGTATGCATCCTTTTACTCTTTATACATATCCAGCGTGCTGTTTTATTTTTTTAGGTGTACTTTTCTGTCTCAGAAAAGATTGTGTTTGTGTGCGTGTGTGTCTATGTCCACGTGTTTGTCAGGTTTAGGCTTTGAATCGTTGTTGTCGAGCTGATCCAGGGCAGCTCAGCCTGCACACCCATCTGCTGACCCATCTGTGCACGCGCACACACACACCCACACACTCACATTTGGACAATAAGCCTGAGTCAGCAGAGATAGTCGCTGTCCAGGGTGCTGGTACATCAGTCATTCACCGTTCTACCTGTCTGTCTATCTGTCTCTCTGTCTGTCTGTATCAGTGACCCTCATTCCAAATCCTGCTTCAGTGGTCGACTGGAAGCATTTTCACATTCATTTTTTTCATTTGGATTAAATTAAGTGATATACATATGTATTTTGCAATGTTTTGTGGGAGTGGATGGCTGCTTCTAGCAACAGTGCCTTTATTTATTAATGAAACTAAGGAGAATCTCTTTTCACCAGGAATTCCAAAAATAAAGTCTATAGCATTCAAATGTTTGGAGGCTTTTTTAAAATGAATACATATATTCAGCAGGTTTGATCAAAACTGTGAAGGGTTTACATTGTTAAAAAAAAATAAAAAAGAAAGTTACTTGAGTGTCAAATCAGCATATTGCAATGATTTTTGAAGGATAATGCGATACTGAAGACTGGAGTAATGGCTGAAAAAAATTGGCTTTGCATCACAGGAATAAATTTCATTAAAAAAAATATTTAAATAGAAAGCTGTTATTTTAAACTGTGACAATATTTCACAAAATTACTGTTTTTACCGTTTTGTTTTTTTTATCAAATAAATGCAGCATTGGTGAGCATAAGAGACCTTTTTCTATAGACTTTTGAATGGTAGTGTAGTGTGTAATAATTAGTGTATTTTTTATTAATTGATGAATGCATATGCATAAAAATATAATACTTATAATAAATTAGGATTTTGATAAATAAACGTTGATTAAATAAACATTGATTAAAATATAAATATACTAAATGATTTATACATATTTATTTAGTTATTTATTTAAAAAAAAATAAAGCACTTAGAACTGATGGTACAGTAGGTCTTTCTTTGAAGGTTTGTGTGTAATCATTGAAAAAAAAAAATTATTGGACAGAATTAAGGTGATTTTTCTTCCAGAAGCCAGCAGTTGCACTCCATATATTCACTGGATAGTTTATTTGAACAATTTAATGAGACTAATGTTGTGTTTGGCCTCTTGGAACGTCTGCTTATGTTCTAATAACAAACTAAATTACAAGTATTAAAGTACTGTGTATTAACGTACTGTGTACTTTGCTTGATGGAGTTATTTCTGAAGTAAATGCTGGTACTTTCAGCCTTGGAGTGTTTATATAACAGCCTATTCCAGTTTATTTAGATACATTCAGTTTTTAGTAGGGCATCTGTGATTTATGAGCCACACCATGTCACCATTTGGGACATATGTGGCCCCTGTGCCACTGATTTGGAGCCCCTGTTCTGTTTCATTAGCACCCTCATATAAGTCACCAAGCCCACAACAGTTTCTGCCTTTTGGAACACTAGAAATTCTCATTAAATATTTTGCTGTGGATTTTTAACACACTCTTCTAAACTGCTGTGTTTCAACTTCTCTGCCAGTGCTGAAAAAGTAAAGTCGTGCCATAGATTTAAATTTGAACTGTTATCATGCTGAGATTGAGGTTGTTTACTATTTTTTCTTCCTCCTCTGAGCTCCAAATGTTATTTATTGCTTGTCAACACTTAAAGAAGCATGCACATTTGAATGCTGCACCAGATTGAAGCCTCTCTGTGGGACGGGAAGAGAATAGCGTTCCACAGAAACGCCAAGGTTCTTGTTAATTAAAACAAAGCTTACTTAATGATGTGTAAAATGACAATTAACGCAAAGTAACCTAGATCCCATAAAAGATGAATGAAGGCATTTTCTATAAGGGTTTAAAACAAAGAATTGTGAGGTTGATTGTGTGTGATGTGCAGATGTGTACTTTATGTGTATTTAGGGACTGACTGAATGCCTTTTTTTTTTTTAATTCCCAGTTGAAATCCGTATTTTCTTTATTCTAGACTCCTTTGTCATGCCATGAAGGATCATATCGTTCGAGTGGCCAATGAAGCAGAGTTCATCCTCAACAGACAGCGAGCCGAGGACGTCCACAAGCATGCAGAGTTTGAGGTAGATGACGTTTTATAGATCTCCATGGATCAGTTCAGGATTGAGATATTTTATAGTGCAATATGACTGAATTAAGTAGCTAGATTGGCTAAAACGCAAACTAGATTATAATCAGTCCCAGATCAGAACTCTAATCCCACACTGAGTCCATATGAAACTAAATAATCTTCAAAGAAATCTGTTTTTGCGAATCCGATACAACATGAGAGAGAAAATCTGTAGTAAAGCCAGCAGTGGGGGAGGCCCATAATCCTCTGCTCATATCTCCTACAAGGGATTAATCCACAGATATTAGCTCAGTACTGAGATATTTAATAACTCGTCCCTAAATTATGCATAAGCGCGCACTGAAAAGTAAGGAACCATGTTTAGAGATTGTATTCATGTCTCATTTAAAACTATTAGCTGTTTCTGTCAAGAGACAGAATACAGTATGTTCTTTTTTATTAGTATTTTTCTCTGTTAAGGTTTAGATGGGAGCTCTGTCAAAGATCAGCATATTTGTGTATTTTTAACTTGATTGTTTTTAATTTAATTTAATTGTTCATAATAAAACCTAATATTGTTTGAAAGAAAAATACTCCGTAGCATAAAATTATTATATTAAAACATAAAACAAAAATATGATTCATATTGTTTAAAGGGGTCATATGATGCTATTTTAAAGATCATTATTTTGTGTATTTGGTGTAACAGAATTGAAATCGCATCATATGACCCCTTTAAATATGTAAAATGCTTGAAGACAGGATGTATTGTGAATATAGTTATTGGTGAAGGGGATTTATATGAATATTTGTAATATTTTATACTAATTACTGTCTGAAAAGTAATGAACAGTGTTTAGACATTATACAATATATATATATATATATACAGTGGCTACGGAAAGTATTCAGACCCCCTTAAATTTTTATAATAACAATAACAAATATAACAATAACAAAAACTGTTATTGAAAAAAAATGTGTTTGTGTACTTGGTTCAGATCACGTTTTAGCTTATAGTCGTGACAATATATAATAATATATTAAAAAAATTTAGTATTCACAATATAACGCAGCCTCTTGTACCTTATAACTGCAATATATTCAGTTTAAAGATTAAAGATTAATGCTACACTAACTTCTTAGAATATCAGTATCAACCTCTCTTTATTATTCTGACAGAGATTCAGTGGGCTCTGTAAATGTAAATCAAGCTTTAGCAGCACTTGCTGTGGAATCTGTCATCATGTATCTATGATATGAAACTCTGAGGGCACGTGCATGACATCAGTATGCGGTGAACACACACTCTTTCACACAAACGCATGAGTACATGTAGTGATGGAGTGATGAGTTTCTTATCTGGAACGCGCAGCCTGTTTTATATACTGCTCTTGAGGATCCCTGACCTGTTAGATAAAACGCAGCAGACGCTAGATAGGTGATGTCACCAGCTAACCGGAGACGTCATCTTGCCCCTCAGTCCCGTCTTGGAGAAGGATGGGTTCACAGTTCTCATTCCTCCTCTTCTTTATTACCTCCATCTACAGATTGAAGATTCTCTAAGCAGATAAGATATTTTTACAATTAAGCTGGTGTCACTTTCAACCCTCATATCCTCCCTTGAAATGATAAATAACGTTTGATATTTGTCAGCGCGGCGCATGGTAAGGCGAGATGACACCGGGAGATTGAGTTATCGGCCGTTTGAAGAATATGTCGAGGTATAATATCTGACAGAATTCAAATATAAGGAAGGAAATTCAATTACTTCCCCTCACCCCTCCTCTCTGTTCCCCTGCACCCCACCAAGCCTGTGTTAGCAAATTAGATTTTGAATATTAGCAAGAGATCCCCCCCGGGGTCCATGTGGGAAGGCAATCTTATTGTAGTGGGGAAGATAAATTCGGCGGGCTGCTACACGTCACCCTTAGTCTGAGAGGCCTTTTAGTCTCAGTGCTGCTTATAGTGCCTGTTTTTAGCTTCAGTCTGTGTATAAAGTGAACTTTAAAGTCACCTTTTTATATAGTGCTTTATATAATACAGATGCAGCTGCATGGTAATAAACAGAAAAATAACAGAATCAATGATGCAGACTTCTTTAAATATGCATGAGACAAATTCAAATTCTGCTGTAACAGCTCTAAAAAGACAGTTCAGATCAGTAAATATGTAAAGTTCAATTATGAAACAAGTTCAGTTCAGCTATAAGCAGCTCTTCAGAAGGCAACATTGTTTTTTCAGCTCAAGCTAGTTCAGTGTTGATTTAATTCAGTTCAGTATTCTATTCAGCTATAAAGCATCTCTACAAAAGACAATAATATCATCATCCACCTCAATTCAGGCCTCATCTAGTAGTGTGTATGCCATCTAATATTGATATTACTAAGTTTTAAGTGTCTTTAAAACCCCTTTACTTTAAAAGGGAAAGTACTACAATATATGTTGTTTGTTGACATTGTAATAGAATACATTCTATGTTTTTAAAGAAAGAGTTCATCCAAAAATAAAAACACCAACTTGTCGTTCCAAACATGTATGACTTTCTTTCTTCTACAGAACACAAAAGATGTTTCGTGGAATGTTTCAGCTGTTTTTGTCCATATAATGAAAGTCAGTGGGGTCCAAAACCACACAGGAACGTATTGAGTTTCAATGTATGAAAAAAAACAAACAAACTCTGAAATATTCTATAAAATATCTTCTTTTGTCTTCCACAGAAATGAGAATGGCATTTAGTTTTGGAACAACATGAGAATTAGTAAATGAGAATGTAAAATGCGATATATGTTGTATGTTGACATTGTAAAGTAATGGAAGATATTCTTTGCTCTTAAAGGAACAGTTCATCCAAAAATGAAAACACTATCTTGTTGTTCCAAACCTGTATGACTTTCCTTTTACTGAAGAACACAAAAATAAGTTGTTTTGAGGAATGATTCAGCTGTTTTTGTCCATATAATGAAGGTCATTGGGGTTCAAAACAACACAGGACCTTATTGGACAAAATAAAAAGACATTCTGTAAAATATCTTCTTGTGTGTCCCACAGTAGCGAGAACATCATTTAGGTTTAGAAAAATGTGAGAATGAGTAAATGGGAAAGTACATGGTAAATATACGATATATGGTATATGCTGACATGGTAAAGTAATGGAAGACATTCATTGTTATTAAAGGAACAGTTTATCCAAAAATGAAAACACCCTCACGTCGTTCCAAATCTGTATGACTTTCTTTCTTCTGCAGAACACAAAAAAATATGTTTTGTGGAATGTTTTAGCTATTTTTGCCATATAATGAAAGTCAGTAGGGTCCAAAACAACACAGACCTCACTAACTGGACCAAAAAAAAATTTCTGTTCCACAGAACAAAGAACATACTATGTTTGGAACAATATCAGGATTAGTAAATGGCATTATATTTGTTGTATTTTTACATTGTAAAGTAACAGAAGACATTCTTGGTTCTTAAAGGAACAGTTTATCCAAAAATGAAAACACCTTCACGTCGTCCCAAACCTGTATGACCTGCTTTCTTCTGCAGAACACAAAAGATGATGTTTTGAAGAATGTTTTAACTGTTTTTGTTCTTATAATGGAACTATGATGTGAATGAAAGTCAAAACAACATTGTATGGACAAACCCTTTTTAAAATGTCTTCTTCTGTGTTCCGCAGCAGAAAGAACATTATTCATGTTTGAAATGACATGAGGAATACATAAATGATGACACTTTTTCTTTTTAGATGAACTGTCCCTCAGTTCTACTTCATTCTTCATTGATGCTTCGTTCAGCATCATTCTTGTTTTCAGTGTACTGATTCATTGTGATGATTACTGTAGATGTTAATCTTTTACATCTTTTCTCTCTCTCTTTCTTTCATCCATATTTCGGTCAGTCTAACTGCGCGCAGTACGCGGCAGACAGGAAAGAAGAGGAGACGATGTGTGATCACCTCATCAGTGCCGCCAAACACCGCGATCATGTGACAGCCAATCAGCTGAAACAGAAGATCCTCAACATCCTCACCAATAAACACGGAGCCTGGGGCGCAGTAGCGCAGAGGTACAGCTGTGTGTGTGTGTGGGCGGGGTGTTTCTACAACTGTGGCCACTTTTGGCCCTGTAGCGGAATATCTATTCTAATATATATTTAAAATGTAATAAAAAAAGGAAGAAATAAACAAATCTGTACCTTTAACAAAAGAAAAAATCAACCCCCGGTGACATAAAAGTTGCTGTAGTTTAGTGTGTGTGTGTATGTGTGCATGTGTTTGTAATAGCGTGTATCTTCTCAATGGTCTGTCTACGGTCTTTTTAGAGGCGAGTATTACACTATTACCTTTGCGACACAAACACACACAGCCAGGCCTCTGATGTGACTCCTATTTAATGTCATTTTCTTGCTCTCCACCAGGGTCAGTCTACAGGTCAGCGAACTCAATTACCACACCAGGCCACTAAATCCTCAGAGACAGATCACTGGTGGTCAGGCTGTGTGTGTGTGTGTGTGTCTGGCTCTCACTCTCAGTCTCACAGTGGAGCACCTGGCAGTTGTTACAGTGGTCTCAAAGGTCCTGTTAAAAAAATACTGACTAGAGTTCCGTTTCCCACCAAACACACACAAACAGACCCAATATAATCCAAGATCTAAGACATCATTCTGTACAGTGTGACAGTTTTATCTCAACATCATGATTGAGAAGAAAGTTAAGAAACAACAACCAGCACAATCAGTTTTGAATGTAGTGGAGTAATAATTTCAATGCTAAAATACTTTCTCCTAACCCACCTTAATATGCTGAGACAACTATAAGTAAGCTGTCTGTGTTTCAACCAATGAGGTGTGTTTGGGGTGGGAGTATGTGTTTGTTTGACCAATGGCAGACAGGAGAATCAGTCATTATTTTAGCAATTCCACTTGATGACAGTAGATGGGCAGAAATAACGCATTAAAACAGTGCTTAATTTCATTTTTATGAATTTTTATTTAACATCTTAATTTTTTGACTTGCTGCCAAGTTGCAATATCTAACAAGACAAATACCTTACAAGACAAATGATATTGTAAAGCAAATTTCCATTTCCATTTTTAATATTAAAGAAATATAAAAATATTAAGAAAGACATTTTGAGAGTGTTTGTTCAATATGTGTATTTTTCATTTGTTTTAATTAGAAACAATTTAAAAACTAATGGGAAAACAAGACACACTTGTGACTTGCGATCTGTAAAACTGTATATGTGTGTGTGTGTATATATATACTGTATATATATATATATATATATTAGCTATGGTATTGCCTGCAGCAAAATCACCTTCAGTTCCATTGGTGGAACACATGATGACTGGATTGAGAGTCTCTCTGCCACCATTGGCCGACAGCCAAGAGACCCATACACAAACACACACTCCAAGAACAATTACTGATTTGCCTTCCAAATTGGCTGGATTTGCAGAAACAGTGGCTGTGGGTTTCTTATTAAATTTGAGAAATCCACTGCAGATGGTTGAATGAACATGATGGCATCATGTTTACCTGCTCCAATAGGAAACATCAGCATGAACTGCTGCAGTGGAAATTGAGACGATAGTCCAGCTGCTTTCACTGATTGTACTTCTGTTATCAGTTTTGACGAATCCAAATATGCTGGATGTCCCAATTCTCATCTGTCAGACGTTGTTTTTTGAAATGTCAGACACAGTCTTACATTAGCGGTGCTGTAACTGCACTGTACCACATTCACAGCTAAATATGTATGTGGGTTGTCCTATTTTATTTTTAAATCTGTGTTTAGAACACATTTCCCATGTGCTTACAGTAGAAAGCAAGAAATAACACACTGCAGGTTTTCATGTAATGTACATTTATTTATTGACATTTACTAACGCTTTTAATTTATTAAAATGTATTACTATGGATGATTGAGAGTGTCATATTTTAAAAAAAATGTAATTTTCATGTAATTTACATTTATTTATTGACATTTACTAACGCTTTTAATTTCTTAAAATGTATTTACTGTTAATATGGCACACAATTCTCTGTGAAATGTCAGTAACATAAAAGTCTGACCATTTTCAGAAACATGTTATGCAATTGTGGCTTCCAGTTTCTCAAATGCTGTCTTAAATTTATCACAAGTCCTTCATACCATAATAATAAAGTGCATCTAACACCGACTACACAAAATAATAAAAAGCTTGATACGGTGGTTTGGCTGAAAGTCTCTGCCACTATTGAGACTTATTCAAATATTTATGAAAACCACCTGGAAGGCATAACATTTGCATTGAGACAAAAGGTTATTGAGCTGGGGCACATTGTAAATGGTACCACAAAACTTCCAACAAATTCAAATTTAATGGTAACCTGCTGGAGAAGAAAAATGATGCAATATGTTCATGAGCTCAAGGCGGTGTTACAGCTGAGCAGCTTAGTCTTATTCAATGCTACATTAACTTTCCCATTTATGCGGCTTCTGTAAAATAGAAAGCCTGCGGCATTCTGAAGCATGCGTGTGTGTGTACTTTGCATATGTGTGTGTTAGTGTGTTGGCGTGAAAATGTATTTGTATTAGTGTGTTTGTGTGTGTCTTTGAGCATGAATGCAACCAGATTGGTTTTCTGCTTTTACTTTGTGCTACAGCCTAGGGACACGTGAAAAATTATCGAATTCTGGTTTGAAAAATGCGCTGTATCATGTTTTCACATTTAGGCTTCTGAAAACACAAATGTTCCCATGATGCTTTGGAGCACCGCTTTGATTTTCGCCATTAGTTTTTTTTTTTTTTTTTTTTTTTTTTGCAGAACAACTGCAGATATTTTTATATTTTGACAAACACGTCCAGAAAAGCAGTTGTGTACAGTATTAGATATATAAATAAATGTTCTCTGTTGTGTAAAATCGAATAATCTGTAAAGGATGAAGCACCGAAAGATGCAACACTGCATAGCAATTCCTGAATGGCTGCATGAGGGCTGCATCCAGCCTACGAAACTTCAGTTCGATCATACTTTATGCTTGCCTGATGATGAATGTCCCCTGTATTGAGTCGGCATCAGAAAATCAATACTTCTCAAATTGAAACAGTATAGGGTTGTATTGATCTGGGCTGCTAAATCAGAAAGAGAAGGCTTTGATAGGACGTTGCCAGACAACTCTGAGTCCAGTAATGACACACTATCAATTTTGGCTTTACACTGATAAATCAAGTCGAAAATTGGATGTCAGATTTTTTTCTTCTGGCTTTCCACTGAGGGAGTTATTTTCCTTTCCCTCTCCTGTTGACCTCTGGCCTCTGCCAGTGAATTATAAAGTTCAGGCGTGTCAAAAGTGAGAAGATGTCAGCATTGGGACTAATGATGGAAAAGAAATCTATGAAATTGAAAAATCATGGAGCCATTTATTTGCATGTCATTGGCCTGTTATCTGGCTCTCTGAATCTTATGTCATATTTTGAGGCACTGTAAGGTGGATTATTGTCATAATCAATTAACTAGGTTGCAAATCTTTTAACCTTTCTTCCTGTAGACTTGTTTTTTAAGTTGATTTCAGTGTGATGGATATAACTGGATATAAATATTCCTGTATTATTTTATATATCTTAAAACTTCAAAAAGTGTGCAATTTCTGTATTATCCAAGCAATTTTTAATTGTTTTAATTTATATTTATTTATTTATATTAATATGGCATTAACAATCCTCAATAATATCCATAATAAATAAACAAAAATTAAATAAATATTTCTATTTCTATTTGTTATTTATGTTTATATTATCATTTCAGTGTGATATGTGATTTTAGCTGTTCATATTAATAGGATTTTTAATATTTTTATATTTTTTTAAATGTGCTTTACACTTTATAAATTGTGTAATTCCTGTACTATCCAAACTGTTTTTAATTAAATTAAAATATTTCCTTATGTATTTATTTATTCATATTAATATGGCAGTCATAATCCTCCATAATCATATCCATAATAAATACATAATACATAATAAATATTTAAATAAATATATGTATCTAAATAATAATTATAAGTAAATATACTGTATATTTGGATAGCACAGAAATTACACACGTTTTAAAATGTACAATAATAATGCAACAATACACATTTCAAACAGTTTTATTGTACATTATTATGGCATTATTTCGTTATTTTGCATTATGTTTGTTTTCTTCAGCAAGTGGTGTCAAGCTACAATATTTGAGATAAGTTATTCTGCATTTTTAATCCTTTTTAATTCCTATTTATTCTATATTATTTAAAACATGGCCATTGTGTGTTTAAATGCTAATGCTAGCTCTGCAAAACCCACTCAGTCTCAGCAGTCTTCCCAAGCATCATGTCACACTGAATAAAGCAGACACTCACCGATTTTCAGTCAGCATTTTTGCCATGCAATGGCACGTAGCTGACTATGCTTGGTGTCCAATAATACTCCTTCTTAGTGTCCATTACCTGGAGTTTAATGTAGCTCTAAACAGTCGCTAATTGCTCCAGAATGGCTGCCTGTAACAAACATGTAAAGTCTGTGGTCACAGTGGATGGCGTCCCGTTGTTGCGTTCATGCCCTTTGTCAACGTCAGCACTATGGCTGACACCTGATCGAGGACCAGCATACCTGGACCACATCAGACCTTTACTTAACCTGACTCGGGTATTGATTGTCAACGCTTTCTCTTGTATAATTATTTTTTTTTTTGTTGTTGACTGAAAGGATGGCGATGAAGAAAAAAGACAGTGCCAAGAGATGGAGAGTAGTGGCATGTATTGATTTGTTGGAAGGTGGAGAATGAAGGAGGCACCATTTCCCATTTGAATAACGGTGTGCGTGGTCTCTTGTTTGATGGATGGCAGGAGTCCGGTACTGGATAATAACTTGGTGATAGAATGGAGCCTTCCAGTTACACACGGCTTGGTTAAGCAGTCTCATTGGGAATGGTTGAAAGGTTATCAATTCTAATAGCAGCAATTGAAGGGGAATATATACAGCCCTTATGGGGTTTTGGCCCCCCCAAAATTGGGATTTTGGTCTGAAGTTTAAATAAAA